TGGATCACAAAATAATACAGGCTTCTGACACGAGAAAAAAACCACAAAGCAACAACAGTAATAACAATAATAGCAACAACAGCAATGATAATAACAACAAAAATAACCAACAATAATAACAACACTGTTTACACAAGTACAAGTGCCTGTCTTTCTTGTTCGTTTCGTCACTATTACAAACGTGTCGGCGACCATGGCTCTAATCAATAGTTAAATGAAGGTGTAATGATTACATCCTTGTGCGCATAAGACTGCAGGTTTTACCAGCGAATGTAATCCTTGACTGATTGACGTTCAACCCTACAAGGACATCACACCGAGCGATACAAAGTGCCACTATTCGGACGAGGATCACCCGGGGACTGATTATTGATTACTGATTTGAGAATCGACTTCATAGCACATAGGGCATACCCATAGATGCCCCGTCTCCAGCAGCAAGTATCTTAAGGTGTAGATGCTAACTGTTCCCATAGCACACTGATTATACACACGTCGTTCGCTTCCTCTCACCCGTTCCTTTTTGCCGGATCCACACTTTATTTCTCGTTCACGTGTTCTTGCACATGTTATTTCATCACACCTCGTGTCCTCTGTCAGCATATATGGTCTTCAGAATATCTCTCGTGTCCAGTATGAGTGTTCCCGTAGCTTTAGCTTCTGTATCCAGAAAATCCGCTCTTTCGTTCCCTCGCACAGCTGCATATCCCGGACAGTATATATACAAGAGATTCCCTGTAATGTTGGCGTACTGATGCATAGTACATTAGTCCATTTTGAACCGTCCGCAGTGCTGACTGAGAATCGGACATAATAATTTCTCTGGTAACTTTGTTTTCTGCTATCCAATTCAGAGCTGCAGTGATTGCCTCCACTTCCACCCTCATGCTTGACGTTGCAGGTTAAATAAAAAACTTAAAAACTGTTCTGCCACAATTATTTCTTTCATTCTAGCTGAAAAACCCCAGCCAGATCTTACACACCGATGAACAGAACCATCGGTGTATACTTCTACACCATTTAGCCCAGTCCTTCCATCTATCAGATATACCTCTAATTCTGCCATACCGTTACACATCTCTACATTCTCTTTCTATCGTAAAAATGACCTGATGGAAACTGCTGTTGTGGGTGTTCGTGTTGACCCATTCCTGTCCTCTGTGAATTTGCTTGACTGAGGCCGTCGTTTCGATGTTATCTTCAGCTAGTGCCATCCATAACTTGTCTTTCTTCGACCGATATCCTCTTAAATCGTTCAGATTACCATGCAGCGGATGTCTTTCAACATTGGTAACTCGCATATACTCGCTTGCGCCAGTGACAGTCTAGACTTGACCAATGTCAGCCCAAGCATTTACCTCATTGTTCTAGTTGAGGTATCTCGTGTGCAATCCAAGACGATTCTCATTTCTTCATTTTGAATCATTTCAAGCTTTTTACACTGTAAAGTAGATAGGGTTAATATTCCTAGAACATACTCGATTACAGAAAGGACCACGATAAGACCAATAATCTCTGTTCCATGTGTGTCGCCACCATCGTCTTCAGTGCCGCCAGGCCAAACTTACATTTGATCACAGTCTGCTCCACGTGATAGCTGTAGGATAAACCTAAGTATTTCAGTTTATCTCTTCTTTCAACATTATTACCCTTCATGGATATGTTGGGCAAGTCTTCCTTTCCAATGATTTTATTCTAAGAGCACCAAAAGTACTGGCTTCTCTGGGTTTAGCCTTGACCCTGTCTGTTCACACCACTCCGTCATCTCATGTAAAGCACTTTGCAAGTCTCTGGTCATGTCACGCCCGTCTAATCACCCGGGGAAAGGTCGCAGAAGCCCCGTTAAACCCATAGGTTGGGTTATATTAGGGCCCCCGGCAACAGCTTTAAAACAAAACAAAACAAATTGCGTCCCACATTGGGGACGCAGTAAAAGGACTGGCGCGGATCTAGCCCCTACTGATGCCTCAGTTTTAACTACGCCATGTTTTCACCGGGACAGTCCAGTTTGTCTTTAGGTGTGCTCCCGTCGTCCTGTCGGTACTAAAATCCAATAGCCCCGTTTTATAACTGTCTAGGACAGTGGCTCTTAACCTTCCTAACTCCGCGACCCTTTAATAAGTTCCTCGTGTTGTGGCGACCCCTAAATAATTATGTTCCTTCATAACTGCAATGAATATGTGTTTTCCGATGGTCTTAGGCGACCCTTATGAAAGGGTCGCTCGACACACACACAATGTCTCGACCCGCAGGTTGAGAACTACTGGTCTAGGAATTTGCTTGTGAATAGAACACACAGTTATGGTTTTATCCAGGGCTTTTTATTATAGCGGTGCTCATCACTGCGAAGTACCGGCGTCTTTTATTAATCCGTTTATTTCATCAGCACTACTGTAACATATATACTTTATGTTCAGTGCTGGCACCAGTACTTAATTAAGTACTTTGTGGTCAGTAGAAGCGCCGAATGATTTTGTGTATGCCATTACATCCATTTTTCAGGGACTAGCAAGACGGCAGCGGTGTAATTGATTGTTACCACACAAGAAATGTTAAACATATATACACAGGTCTTTTAACAGCAGAACATTTGGGAGGTAGGCGAGATTTAGGAAGTACCCGAGAGGAAGACCGAGAAAGATACGGATAAATGGTGTAAAAGAAACCTGCAAAAAGATTAACAAATCCATCACTCAAGCCACCCGAAAAGCGCAAGACAAATACAGAAAACCATGACACTGGGCTACAACCTGGCATCAGTGAGACAAAAGAAAGAAAGTAACAGCAGCGCCCTAGTTATATTTGTAGATCTTGTTAAAGATAATATTTTATTTTCCACGTCTGTCAAGTCAGGTCTTTTGTATATTGTTTGTAGGGCCGTCGTCTTAGTGCTGGCTGGTTAATCTGTTGCTTGCCATGTTGCCAAATGATATTGTCTCTACCATTGGCTGACTATGTTCTGCGCCATTTCAGGGTGTCAAACCCTTCAGACAGCACACACAGAAACCAGCATTAATGTCACCTTCCAGACATGTAACAATGATCTCAAAGAGTGTTTTTCCGCTCGAGTGGGTGACAGACAGTGATCATCCAACACCGTATCCATTTGACGGGGCATGCTACTGACATCTAGGACTTAATTAGTTCCCCAAGTTAATCCAGTATAAAATAGGTAGCAGGAAATTTACTGGGAGATAAAGATGGTTGGGAAAACCACTGAAGATATAGGTCAAAAGTTAAAAGTATTCAAAACAAATGCCTGAGGAAAATTATGAACATAAAATGGGATACATTCAAGAGGACTGAAGAAATAAGAGAAGTTTCTGGGCAACCACTGGTATCAAGATGGCGCTATATTGGGCACTTTCTGAGAACAGATGAATAAAGAATCACTAAACAGGCACTGAAATGGGAATTAGAGGGATTAAGAAAAAGAGGATCCAAGAGAAACCCTAAGGTAAAGGTTGATGAGAGAAGCCAAAGGTGCTGGACTGGATTTTATCCATGATATGAAAGTGATTGCACAGGATGGGAGGGAATGGAGAAATAGACTGTGAGCCCTATGTGACACATAATGGGACAATGAATAAATGAACGATGGTTGCTGTTGAGTGGGGCTAGTACCCTATATTCAATAGACATTATGGCATGACAAGGGATTTAGTTATTTCATTAAGCCAGTACCCTTACTAATAAGCACACACACAAATTTTAAAAAATCACAACGAACATGAGATATCTCAGAACAGCTGCCAGAGTAACAAGAGGAGATCAAATTGAAAATTAAGAAATTATAACTATAACTGAAACCATCATACAGTTAACTCTTGTTCCCTGTGTTGGTTCCGGAGTCTTAATGTAGAGAGGAGAAAAGAATAGACCCACTGTATCCCCAAACAAGCATGTCTATCAAGATGACTAATTATGGGTGTTTCCTTAAGTTGGATGGCATCTGCCAAACAGGTGATGAACCAACAGTTTGCATACAACTAAGCCAGATCTGTAAAACAGATGTGCATGCAAAACTCAAGTTCTGGAACAAGACTGAGGTCCAGAAGTGGACCAACACCAAAATTGTCCGCCAGAGTTTACAGCCGGTGAACACCAAGAAGAAGAAGAAGAATTTCAGTACCAAGGAACACATCATGTGTTGATTTATAACTAAGTTAACGGTACTCAAAAGAGTTAAAAAGCAACAAATGAGATGGTCTGACTATCTCTCAAGAATGCCCTGGTGCCAACATCCTCAGACAGCCATGTTGAAGAAATACATCGAACACAGAGCAATGGGAAGACTTCGCAAAAGATGAAAACTGTGAATAAAATAAAATTTGAAATCAAATTAAAATGTCAAAATAAAAGCAGAGAATGGACAATCACTGACATTTCTATGACATGTGTTTTATTACAAAATGTTTGACATTTAAAACATTGTATCTGTGACACGTCATCACAGTTTAACTGACTGTTCATATTATGAAACAATTTGAGGCCAAACAAAAGTTTAAAATATCTGTCAGACAAAGCATTCTTTACACTGAGGGTAAGAAGCTGTGGTATAGCCGTGAGTAGCCAGACATGAGATTGCTAATAGGGCCATTCATGATAGCAGATTGCCAATAGGGCCATTCATGATAGCAAAGTCCTATATGAAGTAGTCCCAGTTACTAATACTGTAAACACAGTCATTAGATGGGTAGTAATAACAACAAACAGAACCCCTATGTAAAAATGAACCAAACTGAATGGCTGTGATAGTGAACATTACCAAGACATGGGAGCTGTGAAAGTATTGATGGAAATTTACAGTATGGCAATGATAATGATAAAAACGAGGATCAGGACAATTTGAAATTGTGACTGTAGCGATACCTGCTATTATACATAATAGAACAATTAAAAACACTGGGCGCATTTGCAACATGAGAAGTGATGGTATGGATAATAACAGGTGATGATGTTCAAGGTTAAAACATGAAGCATCCACACATTTGCACAAATCAGTCGCTCTCATCATCCACATTCACAGTCAGCTTTTTTCTTTTCTTTGTCTGAGGTTTGATTTCATCCTGGGGAAGAAAAAAAGACATTAATGATTATAGGATATACCTCGACTTTTATTGCTGTTGTTGTTCTAGTTTTAATTAGAAACTTAATCCTCATCCTGTGCTGAGCTGATAAGTGTAGGCCAGAGCTATTCAGCTAAGTTTCCTCAAGTGGCAAAATGTTGAAAATGGGGAACATCATGGGCAAGGGGCCCGAGCTCCAGCGTGGAAAGCTCATTAATTCAATATAATTGGCAATGATCTGTGGGCCAGCTGCAATGGCTCTGCGGGCCAAATTCAGCCTGCAGGCCGCCACTTTAATAATTCTGGTGTAGGGTGCCATGTTTCCCCATTTTACATAATCACCAGAATCACAGGTCAGGTCAGTGTTCTTGTCTTGCCGAATCCATATGGTCAAGCCATCCAGGTATCTATCTCTTTGCTTTCCCCCTTGCGCTTTTTTCCAACAATTTTGTCAGTCGTCACCAAATTCTTCAGTATATTCCTTCTCATAAAATGTCCAAAACATGTAGACTTTTATACAAACATTTAATGACTCTAATCAGTTAGTTAGTTAGTTAGTTAGTTAGTTGGGTTATCCTCATTGCACTCCGGACATGTCCATAGGTGCTCAGATCCTCCCCTCAGTATGAACCCCAACGTCCGATGGCTAATAGCACCAGTTCTATGTTGATTAACAAGTCTTCTGGCGTAGCTGGTGTGCGTCTCGTTTTTTGCTGTGCCGATCTTAATTCCCAAGTCTGCCATTCTGGCGAGTGATGTGGATTCACTGCCGCCAAAGTCCTCTATTCTTCCCATTTCTCTGAGGGCATTGATAATATCAGCATGATCCATAGGCTGACCGTCGGTAGTGATAGCGGATCCAGCCAACCTGTCAGCTTTTTCATTTCCATTGACGCCTGCGTGTCCCGGAACAAAAATAAAGGTGACTCCACGAAAAGTGGACTTCTGTAATGATTCAAGCCATTGTCTTCGCACTGAACCTGCCTGAACCCTCCGGATCATACTCATTGAATCACTGAGTATACACACGCGGGTGTATTTTTGTGTTTCAAGCCAGGCAAGCGCTTGTGTCACTGCCATCACCTCCATCGTCATGCTGCTGGTTGTCATGGAGAAGGCGCCGTTGGCTTCTTTGACTGTTCTGCTCGCTGAGCGTGCTGTAAATGCCCATGCGCTTCTTCTTTGGCGTATAACGGATCCGTCTGTATAGATTATTGCATCTGCTTCGTCTGAATTTTCACCGATGAGAGCGTTGACCTCTGCATTAACAGCAACAGGATTCTCTTCTCTACATCGCCTGTTGAGTGTGACAATACAGGAAAATGTACAAATAAACGCCTGAGGCACAGGTATCCATTCTGCACCAGGTATGATGTCGGTTAGGCTGCATATTTGCCTAATAACATCTTCTGCCCGACCTAGCCATGATTTCCCCCTCTTCAGTCTGTCGCCCTTTTCACTAAAAAGCGCTTGATGCAGTGGGTGTTTCTTATCAGCGCATATTTTGAGATATGCCCGAGCCCTCCACATCCTGATCCTTTGGTTCATTGTTGGAAAGTCAAGTAGATACCTCATTGCTCCACAGGATGTGTCTCTAGTACATCCCAAAATAATGCGCATGGCTTCATTTTGCACCTTTTCGAGTCGTTCAATCTGGGTTTGACTCTAATCAGTTTACAACTTTCATCAGTCTTGAGGATGAATGCCTTATTTGTTTTTCTTACTTCTTTTTTTTTAATGTTTCACTGATACCAGGTTGAAGCCCAGCATTATGGCAATATCTGCAAGAGTGTGCCTTATAATTTACTCTTTCCTGTGCAGTAGCAGTTGATTACAACACTGCCAACTTGCTTCGCTCGTCACATGGTGGGGCAAGAAAACAACTGACCTGCTTGGTGCTGCTTCCAGGTGAGCCATTGCCCCATTAGCCTGAAACCTCACAGCTAGTTTCCAGCTTACACCACTCTGATCACCATGGGTCATTGGCAGGCTACTTCATTCAAGTCTCCTCCCCCCCCCCCCCTTACACACACAAAAAAGGCCAGCCAACCTTAACACTGCCTGTTTTTTTTTTTCTACGATTGCATTTTCTGCCTCACACTTTAAAGGTCATTGGATCATCTCATTCAGTACATGAGTGTGCAATTTTTATGGAGATCACCTGCAATTTTTATGAAGATCACCTGCAATTTTTATGGAGATCACCTGCAATTTTTATGAAGATCATCTGCAATTTTTATGGAGATCATCTGCAATTTTTATGGAGATCATTTGCAATTTTTATGAAGATCACCTGTAATTTTTATGCAGATCCCCTGCAATTTTTATGGAGATCCCCCTGCAATTTTTTATGGAGATCCCCCGCAATTTTTATGGAGATCATTTGCAATTTTTATGAAGATCCCCCGCAATTTGTATGGAGATCATCTGCAATTTTTATGAAGATCCCCTGCAATTTTTATGGAGATCACCTGCAATTTTTATGGAGATCATCTGCAATTTTTATGGAGATCACCTGCAATTTTTTGGAGATCATCTGCAATTTTTATGGAGATACCCTACAACTTTTATGGAGACCCCTGGGGATCGTCTTCAAGGTTGCAAAGTTTGTGTACTATATTTAGGCAGGTGGCTAGCTGTTCTGCACATAGGATAAAAATAGAAGCAATAAAATAAAATCCTTGATTTAGTAAATTTTTTTTTTTCAAGTCATTCTCCATATTTCTGTTCCGTGCAATGCTAGTGAATTCTGGACTCGAATGTTATGTGTCTGATACTCAGCTTTATCTTATTCTGACCTTTTCAAAAATTTCCTAGTGAATGGAAAATTTTATATTCATATAATTATGTCTCTATTCCTTCACCTTTGTTTACACTGTTTCTAAATAGGTATATGTTTCCACCTCTTAAAGTTGGGGTTTAAAAGAAGTTTGGATTAGAATTTTCTTACTTTATTATCATTATTATTAAATCAAACAAACAATGGTGTAATCTTCATTAGAAATGGTGAGAAACAAACAAGAAAATACTACCACTGCCATTACACATTTACACTTTACTATTAAAAAAAAGGGTGTTTGTGAATTAACACAAAAGCGAGAGAGTAGGAAAAGAGACAGAGAAAGGAGGAAGAACAGGTGGCAGAAAGAAAGAGAGAGAGAGAGAGAGAGAGAGAGAGAGAGAGAGAGAAATGGGAGATACAGAGGTTGGGAGTGGTAGAGGAAGTGAGAGAGAGAGAGAGAGAGACAGAGACAGAGAGAGAGAGAGAGAGAGAGAGAGAGAGAAATGGGAGATACAGAGGTTGGGAGTGGTAGAGGAAGTGTGAGAGAGAGAGAGAGAGAGAGAGAGAGAGAGAGAGAGAGAGAGAGAGAGAGAGAGAGAAATGGGAGATACAGAGGTTGGGAGTGGTAGAGGAAGTGAGAGAGAGAGAGACAGAGAGAGAGAGAGACAGAGAGAGAGACAGAGAGAGAGAGAGAGAGACAGACAGACAGACAGAAGGAGAGGGGGCAGTAAGAGATGTGAGATAGGGGAAAATGAGGTAAGTTTAGTGAATTGTCTTACATATGAACTTGACCAAAAAATATAATTGTAATACCAGCTGAAACTATCCAACAAATTCACACTTCCACCTGAGTGCATTCTACACACTAAAACTTACATCTGAAGAGTCGCTCCCACTGTCACTTTCAACAGACTTTTTATTTTTTGGGTACTTGGGGCTGAAGCCACTGGCATTAGATGCTTTCCTTCCCCGCAGCACTCTGACAGTCTTCATGTCATCTATCTCCTCTGCTAAAGCCAGCAAATCACTGTATCTGAGGGAGATGATCCAACAGATTAGGTTAACATGTCAGTACATTGTTGCTGAAATACATGTTTTAAAGACATTATCATCATCATGCGCTATCCGGTAAGCATAGGCTGTTATGTTTCGCCATCTCATTTGATTACTAGAATCATGAATAAGTGCAATAAGACTTGCCTCATCCATCTGGACAGGCTATACGGGTATCTATCTCTCTGCCTTCCTCCTGCTCTCTTTCCATCAATCTTAAAGAGAACAAGGTTGAAAACAACTTTGTATCTGGATTCATGGGAATAGGATGCTATAAACTCCTATAAACTTCCATGGAGTGGAAACATCAGTAAGAGTATGGGGATAAAGGAGACAATGACTGCACATAGGTTTACAGCTAAGCACCTGAAAAGAAACATAAAATACATGCCATAAGGTGGAAACTGCTGGTCACATTTAACGGAAATTGGTAAGAATGTGGTTTACCAATTAAAAAGTCTGCTTGGTCAAAGAATAATCTTTAGAACCAACTTTTTATTTTGTAAATATTTTTTAAATTTTAAACTGCCAGAGTATTAAGTATACTATATGCACACATTGATCCTTTAACTTCTTTACTCTTAAGAAGGTTTGATTTATGACCCCGTCAAACAAAGAAGTGTGTTCCACTTTTTTTTTAATCTAAAAATTCACATCTTTAACCAGAGCAAGATGTGTTAACCTGTCCTTCATCAGTGTTCTGCCAGGTTCAGTCTTGTCATTCTGGAAAAAGTGTACCACAAAAATAAACACTTGCTTTCAAAGCACCTTCAGTTACAATATGTAAGATGAAGGCCTCTAGCAAACACATATGAACACACAAAAACAACAACATGAAGTGTAAAGCTGAGTGTGCACCGAGCTTCCTTCTTGTGGAGAGGTATATTGGATATAACCAGTCTTCATTCAGAAGAGCACAGAGACTAGCCAGACTGATAATGCTCCCTCATGTGTTTTAGGGAACTGACTGTCAACAGGTTACAATTCAGTGCCCAAAGGGAATCTCCTAAATCAGACTTTCACATCCACTGCTTTGCAGATCCCCCGGGTTCCAAGGAAAAAATTTAAAGGGTCTATAATATCATAGACAAAAAAAAAATACTCTCAACTTTAGAATGCAACCCTTTCTGCAATTCTAATAACTATAAATTCTCATAAGTTCTTCTGTAGGACTAGTAAAAAAAAAAATATATGGTTTTCCTGACAGACCTATGAAAATAAGATGTGTAAAGGGTCATAGCGAATTGGGAACCACTGTTCTTAAGACGAGCAAACATGACCATGCCATGATTGCTATGATACTGACAGAAAATAACAAATTCTGACTACTAATATTTGTATATAGCCAAAAAAGGGGCCACACACAATATCAGAAGTTATAAATGTTACAAAAAGTGAAGTAAAGTTTTGGCATTTGTACTAGTTGTACACATCAAAATGAACACAGTGCATCAAGTACTACACACAACCATGCAGACATACTTGGTCTTCTGGGCTTCACTGGCTGTAATTTGAACCTGCTGAAGTGCATGCTGGACACTCTCATGATTCAGAACTGAAAGAGATCCACACAAAAAAAACAGTGATACTTTATGGCTAACCTTGAATCTATAATGGTGAACTCAACATTTACTAAATATAAACTGATTCAACTATAGTAAATTCAACATCAAAAAGGGTAAACTCAACAAGAACAGTAATAAACTTGGCATTCCTAATAGTAACCTCACAAAATTAGTCTAGGGGAATTAACCCTACCAGACCGCTAGCCCAATTTTCCGGGAATTTCTTAACCTGGCGCTATACCGCTGGCCCTAATTTTCGGTTATTTGCGTTGTGGGTGAAAAAGATGTGTCACAAACTAAAAATAACTAGCCAATCGTAATCAGACCTTGTGGATAGTATTTCTAGATGTCCGCCCTCGTGTGTTTGGATACAAAAATTTGTTTAAGGTGAAAGAAATTCTGAAAATTCATAATAAAACGAGCAGCTGATGAACCAAGCACTTCGACAGGAAAGTAAAGTAGGTCTGGGCTTTTCACAGTCCAACAGGTGATCGATACTTTGCTTTATTTAGACTCTGCAAAGTCATAATTTCATGAAGAATACGTTCACAGTTGAAGTGACACATTCATTTAGAATAATGAGGAGAATCTTGAAAATTATAAATCTAGAAATAGATCGGTAGTAAGAAAAGGGGGCGTGTCCCTCAAACAGCGCCATCTGGTGCTTACTTTGTAACACGATCTTGATCCTCCTGAGTGGATTGGCTCACAAAGGTGGAATATTGGCGCTAGATAAAAGATAAGCCTATTTTCTACAATGTCTTCAAGTTTAATCTTATTCTAGCCACTTGTTTGCATGTAATGAATATTTTGGTACATCATGTTGGTTTTTCGCGTTAATGCCCAGGAGCTCAGCTACAGGGGACAGTTAGGTTCAGGGCCTCAGGTCTGGTAGGGTTAACATCCAAAATATTTATTTTGTTAGTTTTAACCCTTACGATTCACACTTTTAAAAAAAAATATTTATTTCTGGGTGTGACACAGGTGACAGAGATTTGACTGGTCAGACAGATATGTGATTCTTTTTAAAGACCTTTCAGTTAAGTGATTTTATGTATTCCTGTTCATATGAGTGGTACTGTATGTTTAAGTAATGTGCTGATGAAATCTCTCTAGCCACAACATTCATTCACTTGTTGTTTGTGTTTGTGATAATGTGAAGCTTACTGGTTTTAGGTTGGCTTGGCTTAATATATTTTCAAAATCTAAAAAATGGTAAACCAATTTAGTGCCTATCCTTTACAAAATGTCTCAATTCCACACAAGCTTTTTTTTTTTTTTTGCTGTTTGTGATTTTTTAGGCAATTGTAAGCCCAGCAGTTTGCCACCACTTTCTCAATGGTTCAACCATTGCTTTCTGAATGGTTCAGCCACTTCATCATACACGTTCTATATTACTTACATGAGATATTTCTGCACACTTGTCGCATGTGATCCAAGTGAGCCAAAATCTGGTCTACAGTTGGGTGATCTTTCTTGGTGCCCCCAGCCCTATAGTAAAAAAACACAAGAATGGATTATTTACAAGTGGACTGACAATACACTGTTAGCATTTGCTGGCTAAACCTTTTCGCCCTGGAAACTTCAGTTGAAAAAAACAACAACACACAAACGAGCAAGAATTAAATTAAATTTTTGAAGGGTTTAACAAACAAAGCACCACTATAAGGCTAAAGAGCAATTAATATGTCACAATGACTAGGAAAAAAAACATGTTCTTCTCACAATAAAAACCCACAAATACTATTTTTAGTAAATCATATCTAACCATTCTAAACATCGGGCAAATGCAAACAGAACCAATGTCATAAATAAGGCTTGTCGGGGACTGGTAAATGGAGCAAATTCAGTTTAGTATCTTCTCAGGGATTTGTAATGGGTGGTCATGTTGTAATAGCAGCATCTCCTGACAAAGGCGTTAATAAAAGTTAAGTTGTCCTTGAAATTTTCAAATAGTCTAAACATCTTTCAAATGCTTTTTTGGAAGAAAAAACTCAGAGACAAATACAATTCAAATAAAACATTCAATGAAGATGAGAAAAGAGGAAGAGGAATACATCAAAACATATATTTTAATACAGGGAAATTAGCAAACTAGTTTTGTTCCCCTCTCTCTCCCTCTCTCTGTTTTTCCCTCAAAAGGGTACATGCATGTTGTCTTGTAGTTTAGAGTTAGGCTGCAATATATGGAGCTTTTGGCTCAACCCATGAGATTTCTGAAAAACGTTAACAAGAGCCAAAGGCCATACAGAAAAAAAACAACTACTATGGCTAGTGAAAACTGATAATGAATTGGTTGAGGGGTTATGCTGCACTGGAAGTTAAAAGGAGGAGGAAAAGAAGAAGACATGGAGGAGCTACAGGAAGAGGAGGAGAAGGAAGAGGAGGAAGAAGAAAGAAGAGGAGGAGCTACAGAAAGATAAGGAGGAGGTGCTACAGGAAGAGGAGGAGGAGAAGGAAGAGGAGGAGGAGAAGGAAGAGGAGGAACTAAAGGAAGAGGAGGAGAAGGAAGAGGAATAAGAAGGAGGATGAGAAGGAGAGAAGGAGGAGGAGAAGCTGAAGAAGAAGAAGAATTACCTCTGTCTCTTTTTTGGTGTGCCATTAAGCTTGGTCAACTGAAGATTGATCAGCTCTGCTAGCCTGTCCTCATGTTCCTGTGCCCAGTACTTCAGTACAGAAACTGTGAAGTAGTCTGTTCTCTTGCACTCCCTTGAAAGCACCGGCCGTAAGAGATCCCAGCTTGGACTTTTGTGTGAAAAACACAACATTTATTTGACATATTAAAAGGTTATCATCTAAAAGAATCAATGAACTAATACAATGTATTTAAAAGAATAAGTAGTGAAAGAGCCACCACACAAAAAATAGTTAACCTAGTCACCCAGGGAAGCCACAACTCAACATTTCCAGTGGGGGTCCAATTCCAGGAAAATATAACCTAAAAGACTTTTCTATAGCAATATGTTTATGAGACACATATTTACTAAAATTAGAACAGAATAGACCCAATGCCTCCCTAACAAGCATATCATAAAAGAAATGTAGACTTATTATGGTTCAGTATTCACTGTTCATTTTAGAGATCATCTTCGTCGCACATTGGACATAACCATAAGTGCTACGATTTCCTCCTGGGTATGTATCCAAGTGTTTTTAGGCTAACAATTCCCATTGTGTTCTGGCTGATGTAATGACGGGTGGCGCCTGCATGGTTTTCCTGTCTAATGTCTCCTGGTTGCCTTACCTCGTTAACACTTTTTCTTTGGGGGGAGGGGGGGGGGGGGGGTAAGTATCTGGACAATGACACCTAAGTTCACATATCAACATTTGAGGGAGAGGCGCGCACAAAGCAATAAGTTAACATAGATCAAGATTACAGAAATACATCTAATGTAATAAGATAACAGAGATCAAGATTATAAAAACCAATCAAGACCAATGAGATAAGTTACAAGATCAAGATCAGAGAGACAAATCTAAAACATAAGTTAACAGACATCATGATTATAGGGAAACATATAAACCAATAAGAATTTAAAAAAAAAATTAAAAAATCAAGATCAGAGGTCTAGGCAATTAAATAAGGCATAAAATAGATCAAAATTATAACACCGGTTAGTCCAAGCTAATAAGACAAAGTTTTTATAGATTAGGACACACACAGATTTTATCAATTTTGTAAATAGCAAAATTTGTTAAATAGCAATTTCAGCATGAAACACTCAATAAAGACAAGCAAATGAGTAACCAAAGAAAACGGTTTGTCATGCAAAATAATTCAACAATTAAAAAGATTTTCTCAAGTGATCTAGGAGAGAAATCCTACAGACTTAAGGAGGTCACAGAATGCAAGAAAGTGATAGTGATCCATTTTAAACTAAAACAGTTTTTTTTTTTTTAAATATATAAATTTAACAGGACTAGTGACAAAAATACACACGCATGTACCTGACTTGCTTCAACAGAACCATCAGACTTGTCAGAGCTTCGGCATTTGCTGTTCAAAAAAAGAATTAACACAAGTCGTTTTTAAAAAAAAAATCAAATTAAAATTGCCATCATAAATTAACTATTTCTACAGCTAAAAAATAAGTGAAAACTGCAGCAGGTCTTTGTCTTCTGCTCCTGCCTTTTACGACCCAAGAAAGCATAGGCTTTCAACCAACATGCTCTTTAAGACTTTCAATATGTGTATGTATGTATGTACAGAATTATGTATTTATGTATGTGGAAGTGTATGTATATATGTATGATGGCATACATGTGTAAGTGAGTAAATGGGTTTGCATGTGTATTTGGGTGTGTCTGTGTTTGTTCACTTTATATTCATACTATGCATATTATTATATGCACATAACATGTTTTATTGATAAAATTCCACTGCTGCGTGAAAGATGAGTGTTTGGAAGGACCAAGGTAAGACAGGCCTGCGTGCCTAATTTGTGACCATTTGAGAATAAAGTTTGTTCATTCGTTCATTCCACATAAATAGTCAAGTATTCTATGGAATAAAGTAGCCAGTCTCATGCTA